CTTTATTTGTTTAAAAGCCAGCAGGCTGTGAAAACAAACACCAAATATCTACTGTTTTTATAAAGTTGTAAAAATACCAGTAGGACGATGATCCAATTCTGAGAGTACCAGGAAAGTGAAATATATTTCCTGTACTGGATAAGTCTCTAGTGGTTTTCAGAATGATTGAGATCCATCATCTTTATCTCATCATGATTCATCATTCAAACAATAAATGTTCTGCCAAACTCAGTTGACAAATACCCTAACAACACTATTACTAGTAGTGTTTCTTAAATAACACCAGTGTGTTTTTTTTTAAAATACATTCTTGTATTCTAAACTCTTCCAGACATTTTAAACTCTGAACAACTTTTCAGTACTTCACTGGCATCAACTATATGAAGGCTTAGTTGAACACAGTATCAAACGACTTGGGGAGGATATCACCAGATCATAATATTTCATAAAAGTTGTTCAAACATGATGTTAACTTTGCTGATCTTGGAAGCTGTCATGAAAATAACTTTTCTATTTTGAGTGAAGCTACCTAAAAATAAGCCCCACACAAGAACAATCTTCCTGATGAAAGTAGGAAAATAAGTGGATAATGGTTTAAAATATACAAAGGAGTGCTGATTAACATACTAGAGTGTGATTGTAATAATTACATGGGTCAGAGAGATTTGTGATAATGAAACTGAAGAAACAATGTCTTTTTTGGATTCTTTTGCTAAGGTATCAGCAAAATTGGAGAAAGAATCTAATTTTTCTCGTTTTGTTGAGAATTTCCACAAACACAGACACACACATATATACACACAACTTGAAGAAAGATGTACATTTTGCACTAAGTTAAGAATGTAAGAATTGTCATTTACTGGGACAGACCACAGGTCCATCTTGCACAGTATCCTGTGTCACTCAGTGGCAGGAAGTAGATACTGAAAAGAAGAGTGAATTAGATACGAAGTAATATTAGAAGTGTTGTTGATACTTCATTATGTTGACCTGTTTTATTGCCATTTTTTGTATTATAATAAAATCTTAGAGTTGAGCTCTGTTTAGACACACAAAATGAGAAAGTCCTTGCCCGAAGAGGTTAGACCCAGATCCTGCAAATACATATTCATGGGTTCAGATTCCAAATTTTGACTAGTGCATCTAACTTCAATGGGAATATTTTGAGTAGGGAAGTGAAACATGCACGTAAGTGTTTGCAAAAGTCTGAGCCTACACAGACAAGACAACCAAAGGGTGTGAAGAAAAATGGATGAAGTAACTTGCCCAGGATTATAGTCTGTCAGTCGCAGACATAGAAATAGAACACAGATCTCCTTAGACTCAGTCTAATGCCCAGTCTGCTAAATGAATGCTGCCTCTTCAAAATGTCCATTACATTAAAAACATCTTGAGAAAAACTTTTAAATGGATGTTTGCATTTACAATTCAGGAAGTTAACCACCTAAAACTTGACTTTCATGTGTCCACAATTTTTTCATGAGAATAGTTTAGAGGCAATTTTAGAGAGGTTGGCTTCACACACCAGGGTAAAATAGCCTACACAGATTTGTTAGAGTGAAACTAATTAGAAACTATTTTCCCCAATGAAGTTTACAGGATGAGAGCTCAGATACATTATTCACCTTTAGTCATTTATTCCATACTGTCCTCAAACACACAGAAGGTACTTTAATATTAAATTTAACAAATTATAGATAATTATTTCTGATAGGTCATTCCTCTTTATTACGGAGAAAAATAATTTGTTTTCTTTTCCTATAAGTCTACAAAATAAGAACAGTCCAACAACAGATGTAGGCTTCCATGTCTGGAAAGGGTTGGGAATCCCATATTTTGACAGTTTTTGATATTTCAAAGCCAACTAAATTTAGAGATTACACAAAAGAACAAAAAGCCATTTGACATAGGAGTCTTGACAGTTAATACGGGAATACTTTCCAGCTCCCTAAACCATTTAATACTGTATTCAACTAAGCCTCCAAGCAAATCAAGGCCAGTGAAACAAATGAGAAACTGTTGCAGGAAGTGAAAAGTGCTATAGCCCAGATATGCAGTTCACCTTAGAGCCATTTATTTTTTGTTGTCTCCTAAAATATAATCTCCAAGCTCTAAAGACCTTGAAGCAATGCTCAACTGTTATGGGATAAGATATAGGTTTCTGTTCCATCTTCCTTCTATTTCTTGTTTGACATTTTTTATTATTATTATTTTGGGGGTGGAGAAAGGATGACTACTACTTCCTGTGAACATTTTACCCTGGGTCTAGGTCATGGAGGTGGACAGGACTGTAGCACAGGATGTTACTGTAAGATATGTTGGAAGCTCTATGACTGCTCATAGTCTCTCAAGATCTGTGAAAACTGATGAGATAACAGTGCTATAAATGATGTGCTTCTTACATGACAAGTGGAGCTCATCTGACATTCAAACACCACACAAGAGCTTGGGAATCAAAGGGTGCCTATAAATGTGCAGTGAGGCTGCTCCAACTCATTGTACTTACAGCACATTGGAGCAGATTTGATTAATTGAGCCTGCTGGAGTGTAGTAATTACTGCACTGCAGCAGACTCCAGTGCCATGTGCCTCGGTGTCCCTGAGCTGAAAAATGGGGGCCAGGGTGCTTTAACTAAAAATCATTTGACTAGCTTTAGTTAAAGTGCACCATTTTTCAGTGCAGAGGCACTGATACACATGAAGCTTTGAGCACTTTAATTAGAGCGGCTCTTGGAACTGCTCTAATTAAAGCCTCCCTCCCATCCCTGCCATTGCCAGAGCATGTGTATAAATGCCCAAAGAGGACCAAAAGACAAGAGAAATAAAAAGGATGACTAAGGGAACCACTAAAACAATTTGGTCAGATGAAAGAGCTGGTTGAAGCTAAAACTCAAGCAAGTTTTACTTCAGGATAGAAGAAAACATTTTTAAATGTTCATAGCCACTGTAGAGCCTACTCTGGCTGAAGGTGCACACCCATGATTAGTTAAGTCAGCCTGAAGTTTAAGAATGTTATTGGATTCCTTCTTGATGCTGAACTCCCATGCAGCATTACAATAAGCAACATTTTCTATCATCTCTGGATTGCTACTATATCCTATCCTATCAGATCATGACCTAGCCTCAGTTTTCATGACTGTGTCCATCTCTATTGACCAGATTACAGAAACTTTATACATCTAGGCATGAACCCATGAGACAGATGCAGGCTACTGCTACAGAATTCGGCAGCTCATCTCCTCAGCACTCTAGGTTGCCTTTAGCATTTTATACCTATAGTTGGCTGTCTACACTTGGTTCCTACAAAAATGTGAATCAGATTCAAGCTGTTGGTCTTGGCTTCCTGGTGCTTGATGACCCAGGTTCAGGATACTTAAAAAAACAACAACCCCTAATGCTCCAGAATGAGCACCATAATCAACAAGTTTGCTCTTTTGGCATGATGGAACTCTTCCATAAAGGAAAAGTTGTTCTGTGTGTAATGAATACTATCCTGGGAACCAGCTGAAAACACTGAAATGATTTGAGGAAGTAAAGATCATTACAACCTTACATCAGGTCCCATTCAAAGTGCAGGGCATATTTTGCTGACATGTCTTCTCTAACAAACACAGAACAACATCAGTATTGAAAAAGCAAACCTACGAAAACAAGACTTAGCTGTACACATTACTCTCTTTTGGTGACAGAATGAAAGCATAGACAAACCACATGCAACATATTTAAGTCAGCAAGTCAAGGTACTTCACTCAATATGAAGCAGCACTCATCTTACATTGTATGAAAACATAGAGAGAATAGAAAAGAATTCAATGACACAAATAGGGTTGGCAAGCAAGTCGATTGGCCAGTCAAATATTGTCAATTGACTATATTTTTGACCTGTCAAAGATTATAGCAATTTTACTAAAAAAAGCCCCGACCCCCCCTCCACATTTGTTTGTAGTTTTCTTGACAGATATATTATTTTTCATTTTGACACATTTCTTAATGGAAAAATTGTGCCTTTTTTCTGTGTATTATTGGACCTATTGGCATTTTTAAACCATTTTGACTAATATTTGACTGAACAGTATTTGCCTAGTCAAATACCCAACCCTACATTGAGACGAGGGTAAAAGAAAAAAAAAAAACAACCTGGAAGAGTAAGAAAAAGGTAGGCTGCAGTCCAAGGAAGTATATAGCAAAAGCCCAAATACAAGAAATGTCACTTAAACTGGGGAGTAGCTTCATAAATGTACACCTTTGTTAGAGTTCTAAAGGAAGCTGACACAGAACTGTTTTATTAAAAAAATATGATGTCTTTTATGTACCAGTAAATTCCTGGCCTGACTTCAACATAACTATGATTGTTCTGCCCATCACATTCATAGAATGCACTTGTTTTCCAGTGCAGTGGATGTTAATCTAGTTACAAGCAGACAGGCTTTCAAATAAACCATACAATCAGCAGTAATTAACACCTTGTTAGTAACCTTGTCACAGAGGGTGAAGACAAAAAGGTGAGAAAGGTTTAAATGATCCAATCATCCCCAACAGTGACCTTTGTAGAAGATGATGAAGGAACTTGGGTAGGCCAGCTGGGAAAGACACTCACTGCCAGTCCTTTTCCATGAAAAAAGGACAACAATTTTCAAATCTGTCAAATTGACATCTTTCAGGAACTCTATAGTCACTTCACATTTATTACTTTGGAATTTACATTTGTGAAAATGGGCCTCTAATGCTGGGAAGTTCAAAACATGGTGAGACAGCAGTGCCCCCGCTCTTCTCTTTTACAGCTGGTCATACTTAAATGCACTTTAATTGTCTATAAATCTGATCAGAGACATACTGGGTCAAATTCTCAGCTTCTGTGAATAGACAAGGCTCCACTGATATTTAGGAAGTTAATGGCAAGTGACACTCCTGGATAGCTAGCCCACAGTATATAAATCATCCATTACTTATCTCATTTTGCCCAATCACAAACAAAAATTTGCATTGATCAGAAATACTTACTGCAGTTCTCAGCCTTTTTATTTCGGTGGATCACTGTCTTTTGGTTGGGTGTGCTGAAAAGGCTGCTCCAGTTGACTGTATGGTAGTAACACAGATTACTGTTGTCAGTTATGTAGATGTTGCCTGCACTGATCTGCTTCAAGGACTGGAACTGTAGAGAAGTAATCCCCTGTTGCTTGAGGATAAGTAAGGAAAGGCCACTGGAAAAGAAACATGAATAGAAGTGCATTAGCCCTGGAATGTGGAATTTAAGTTACCTGGGTCTTTTCCATTAGAATGGTTTTAAACGTATAGTTTTGAAAAATACACTTTTTCTATAGGAAATTTTTCTTCAGGTTTTTTTTTTTTAATTCCATTATTTGTTCAAGAAAAATCAAAATGATAGCCTCCCCAAATATCATTTGGAAGGCACTTTTCAACTACATTTTCTGCCTTCAGAGAGAAAATAAAAGTGACGAAAGTAACCTGTGCTGTCATTGGACAAGCAAAAACCAAGTACGCCAGTATTCAAAAAACAATTTATGCAGAACAGTTGTCACAAAACAATTTGTAGATGTTGGCTTTTCTTTCTGAGTGGGGAGGGGGATGTTCTTTCCAAAAACATTACATTTTTCACAGGAAGGGATTTCTGAACAGCTCTAGAAGTCATCTTAATTGTAAAATAATTATTAAATATCTCATTTGAAAAATGAATTAAAAAGAATAACTCAAAAAGGGAATTTAGTTTCAATTGCTGTCAATATTATTCATACACAACACATTTTAAAGAATCAAAGGACATCAAGTATAGTTACATGACCATGGAGAACTGAATGAACACATAGAACCACTTAGTTTGAGGGTGCAAACAGACATAACAGTTGACCCATTGCAAGCATATCACCGCTTGGGTATGGTTTCACAATTGTCCCTGGACAGAAGTGTCCACACATACACTACTAAGGGTTTTAAGTAGAAACCTCCTCTTTTAGGGACTGTACTGCTCCCATAATGCCACCAGAAGGTGGTAGAGTACCTAGACCAACATGCTTTCCAGGGATCAATGAGTTTCCCCAGAATTTCTAGAAGGGGAGGAAGACCTAGCTTGGGGCATGGGGTTGGAGTGGAGGGGTTGCCTGGACCCCTTCTTGTGATTCTGAGGGAGCTGGATTCTTTGGGGTTCCTCGAGAACTCTTCCACTTTTTCTAACTACTCAGTTACTTTTCATTACCAGTAACGGCATAGAGATGTGTGTGTAGGGTGGAACCTGCTGGGCAGGGCTGGCTGTAAAAGTACAGCACAGGGTGCAGGAACAATTAACAGTTAATGGGCTACTTCATTTCAAATTGAACATGGAAATGACAGCCATTTGGTTCTAGTAAGTGCCCATTGTGCAATGGTTCTTCTCCCCCTACCCCCACAGCTTTAAGTTTCCATTGTGCAGGACTCTAGTTCCCCACCACCACCACCACCACCCAGCAGGGGTTTACTGTTACAGGCACAACTATCCATCCACCACAAGCAGAGGACTACAAAGACCCTCCCTCTAGAACCTGTCTTCCCCTCCCCACCAAATAAGCTTGGGCCTCCTGCCCAGGATCCCTAGCATTGATACAATGGTGAAACTGAAACAGAGGCTTTGTGCTTTCCCCATCCCTGCACACTGTGGTCTCTATAGGCAATAGATCTTTGGGTAGTACAGTCCTGGCTAAATCACAGAGCAGCTCCATTGCCCTACAAGGGTTTGGGAGTAGAGGGTGAGGAGCTGGGTGGCTAACTAGTCATGGAATGCTCTGTGTCCACTGAACCAGTTCAAGGAGGATTGGTTCAGAAAAGTACTTGATTTTACCAGCATGCTTTGTAACATTCTGGGAAGTTTAAAGCGGTCCAAAGTGGCCTGAGCATCTGGATTCTTGGGATTTAAAGTGTATTTAGAACATTCTAAATATTACATTTGTCCACACCCTGAGACAATGAAGGAGCCCTGCCAATTTGTCTCCTGGAACGTGACAGTGCTGTAAGATTATGGTAAGGGAAGGTAATGGGATAAGGATGTTCATGCCACTACTATTATTGGATGTTTGTAGCACCTACTGCAGAAAGTCATAGTTTCATCTATTTTCACTATTTAAATTTACAGCACATAAGTATAAAAAAATAAGGGGTACAGGGGAGATTAATCTTGGGCTAGATAGACTATAAACAAAGGAGAGAATGGTAGAAGAATGATATGGAAAATTGATTTAAGTCTTCTTTTCAGGTCAGATTAAAAGTCTTATTTCTTCCAACGATATTGGAAGCTTTAATGAAACACCTCCAGTCTGCCATTACATACATTTTTCTTATATCACAGTATCTTGTCGTCTCACTTCTTTCTCATAGCAAGAGTAAGTCTTCACCTGTACAATGTAGATATGCCTTTGCATATTATGTTATGGATGCAAATGAATGAAGCCAAAATCCCTTTTCTGGGTATTATCTACTTTTTTTTGAATGGTTGTAATTGTTTTCTAGCTATTCTAAATAAAAATCACTGCTTCAAAAACTGGATACAGGGCTGTAATTCAATCTCAAGGTTTCACTGCTATTCATAATCTACTTGGGCTGTTGTTTACAATGTCAGCAGAATCCCTTGACGGATTTAGAACATTTTGTGCAATTGGGAATGAGAGGCTACTGTATATATCATACAGATATATTGTTTCATTTCCCCATTATTTCTCACCATATTTTCTTCCCTCTAACACTGACTTCTCTATATCAGCTTTCATATCAAAATACCACTTGTAAAAGTAGAACTAGCTAGCTATTGCAAGTCCCATATGCAAGTACAGGCATTTCAGTGATCATTCTTGCATTTTACTTCTATTATGTTTAGGAAGCAAGATGTACAATATTATGCATGCATTAGGAGTTTCAAATAGCATCTGAGCTAGCATATTCAAATGTGGGTTTAGCTTATGCTAAAACATTACTGAATGGTAGATTATGAGTGATACCAAATTAGTGATACCAATTAACAGGGGGCTGGACTCAATGATCTTCCAAGGTCCCTTCCAGCCCTAATGTCTATGAAATCTATGAAACACGTGAAAGATTTAAAACATGACTGCTAGACTGGGCACACTGTCCATTCCTTCATTAACAGTAAATTTTTTACAACAAATTTATTTTCTGGTGGAAAATCATAAGCTATCATTTTGAAATCAATAAACTCAATAGGTGCAGGAACTTTGTATATGTAACTAGTATTAAGTGAAAAACTAGTTAAAGTTTATAATTAGACTAGTCTTCTTGAGGGATTTTATTCTCTATGGTATTTATATTATAACATTTAAATAGTAATAGCACAGTATAAATCATTAAATTAATAGAGAAAGGCAAATCTTACCTGTAAAGGGCTCTCCCACCTATGGTAACCAAGTTAGAAAACACTCTGAAATCTGTCATGTTTTCAGGCCATGACTGTATATTCAGGTAACCTAAGGAAAAAAAGACAGAAATGTCCCATCATCTCAGCCACTGAGGCTACTTTATTGTGTACTTGAATTATGATAGATTATTCCATAATAAAGAGAGAGCAAAGGTCTGGAAAGCAGAATACATAAGTAATGAATGATATGGGACACCAGCTTTGAATAAGTAAGACATGGCAGTGCAGTCTCTTGCACATAACAAAGAAGGGACTGTACATAAGTTGTTTTAGGAAATTCATACCTAGTCCAAAGCCAAACTTAGGACAAAGCTGGAGAGACACAGTCAGTTCATATTTCCTCAACTCCCCACCTTTTTCTAGTCTAAGGCAGTGGACAGAATCAAATTTTCTAGGAACTGAAGTTGCTGGGATTTGTTAATGTGTGTTTAATAATTTTTTTATAGGGAAACTGAGTAAAATAACCGAGCTTTGAAATGACTGAGAATTTCAATTTGTGACATTATAACTTCCGCAGCACTCAACCATATCATTTTTTGAGGGACTTGGAGGGTCAGGTGCACAGCTCACCAGGGATTGAGTGGTATCCTTGCTTTACTAGTATACTACTTAGTAGGAGTGCCCTGCAGAGCAGGAAGAAGCAGCATCTCACAGGCACCACACATGGCACCATGGTTCATTATCACCCTGATTTAACAAAGCCCTTAAGGACATGTCTAACTCCAAGCATAAGGCTGTGGGCAGGTGTTTAATCACACTGCTGCAACTTTCCAGGAAATCTGAAGTGCTAGGGAAATGTGGCAAAAAGGAGGGCATACAGACATTCCAGTCCCTTGGCTAGAAAGCTACAAAGTCACCTTAAATCCAAGATCTCCAGCCAGAGGGTAATAGGGAACTGCTCCTTGGGTGTTTCTGCCACAGGGGAGGCTGATAATTGACTGTCTGCCCTCTTCTCAGTTGGGGGAGGAGGCAGGATATCAGTGAGCAAATGGTAGCTGCTGAAAGCTACCAAGGACAGCTCCTTGCCCTGCAGGGCCTGCACAGGCCAGAACTGCTCTCCTCCCCTGCCAGAGCCCCAGTTCTTACCAGGTTTTAGCACTGGTGGCAGGGACTCCCTCACCCTAACCGTAATCCCACCCTTGGCAGATCAACAAAGAGAGCAGATGGGAAGCAGGGGGAAGTTGGGGGAATTCCTACTACCACCTGAACAGTGCAGAGATGGTTCAAGCTGTGGTGGGAATTAGCATCTCCAGTGGCCTTCTACCATCTTTCTGGCATGTAGCCAGGACTTCCTCTCCTACCTAGTAATCAGTAGGGACCTATCCAAATCAAGGTGGTAGATGGGAGATTTTACAGGCTGACCATGGCACCAGACACCATTTTCATGGATTTATCACAAGGCCCGCCCCCCATGCCTCTGATTGGCCAAGGGCCCTGGTGGCCCTGCCCGTTGCTGCTGATTGACCAAGAGGGCTGTCTGTCATGCAGCCCCATCCCTCATCCCTGACTGGCCTAGAAGGCTGCCCATCATGTAGCCCTTGTGGTAGAGAGGAGTGGGGCTACATGACAGGTATCTCTCTCTGCCAGGCAGTGGCAAGTGGCGGGGGGTGGTCACCACCTTGACTGCTCCCTTTTGTACAGGCAGCTCCCCCTGGGTACACCCTAGTGGGCTGCGAGGCCAGGCCACAATAGTTATGAGAACTGCTGGCTCCCACGGGGAAGCCAGCATTGTATTTTTAGTAAGTTTTTTGTTTTGGGGTTGGGGGGGGTTTTTGTAGATTTTGTGGACAATGCCTGATTTCATGATTCCCATGAAATCTGTGAATCCATGAATTAAGTAGGTCCCTAGTAACCAGGTCCTGGCACTATCTGCAACGTGTGGAAGGGGGAGAGAGAGCAGAGGATACTGGCATCCTAGCAACCAAAATTATGCCGCATGAAACTGAACACGCATTTCACATGGCACTGGAAAACTCAGCTCTCCAGTAAAGTTGCAGCTGGAAAGAGCTAACAGTTTATGACAGCATCAGTTTGATTTTTTTTCCACCACACACTGCTTGAATGCCTATATGCTCACTTTTTGTGCTGGAAAAAACACATATGTCCTGATGCAAAGGTAACATCTGTCCATGGCCTGAGTAAGCCCCCTCAAGTCAAGGAGATTAAAAGCTGTGAATTTTAATGGGACTGTTCAGGTGTTTAACTTCTGACACATGTTTAAGTACCATGCTGAAACAAGGGCTATGTTATCTAAGATGTTTCCCTAGTTAGGGTGAGAGTCAGAATTTACTTTACCCACTTAACCCCACTGACTAATTGGGGCTACACTCCATATTAATTAGGATACAAGTTGCATCATTTTATTGAGTGGTGAAAAGGTTAGGGAGCCATGTAATAGAAGGTCAATTAAAAATAGGAAGAGCTTCCCCCCAGAAGCATTTTTATGTGCATACCATGATTGTTGCTTTTCCTTAATTATGTATATAATATCTTGGAAAGAATAACTGGAAGAGAACTCATCATTAATGAGTTCTTAAACCCTGACAGATGAAGCTGTAGCAAACAAGATGCAAGTTCATGGAGCATTAGTTGGAATTCTAGTCATATGTCTCCTATGAAAGTGTGACACACAGATGGGAAACACTTACTTAATTCCTTGGTAGAAATGCTTTAAAGTTAAACCTTTATGTTAGAGCAGAATTCCTCAACAGTTTTCTATGCTGTGGCTCCTATTTTTTCAGCAAAAGTCCTCCGAGGGTTGCCATCTTGATGGCATGTAGCAAGGATCTCCATCCTACTTAGCAATCAGGTCCTGACATCTCTTTGCCACCCTCTTTCTAAAAACCCCGGAATTGGAGAATGTTTTGCATTAACTGAAATGAAGGAAATGCACTTGTGGATAACAACTGGTATGGATTTGGCTAAATGTTTATCAAATTTATGACACTGTCTGTATCCAAAGGTTTCTGTGTGTTTCAAATAACAACAAATGTCAAATACAAATGCAAAATGAGAAAAGAGATCAAGTTATATAGCATCAGAACTGTGTGTTACCTGTTATCTCTCTCACTGTTTGGAAGATATTTAATTTCTCTGGGTCGATTGCTGCAATTGTGTGATATGGGTCCCTGGAAGATTAGAAGGACATATTGTAAGGTTCTGAATATAAAATGAGCAAGGTTATAAACTTCTTCATGAAGTAGCACTATTCAGAATGTCAGCACTTCGCTTTTAGCCATTCAAATACACCAAGTCATTTTCCAATTTCTTTAAACTTCCTGATACTGCAAAGTCCTCAATGAGTTTGTAGCCTTATGTTTCCCAATTTATACTGATAGCAAGAGATGAGGCTCAGTGTATTGAACCATCAGGCTACAAAAATTTTTGGTAAATATTTAAATTTATGAAATGCAGTGGATTTTCAGCCACTGATACACATGGCCTCAACAGGTATGGGGATGTTCATTCAAACTAATCTTCAAGATATAGTGCTGAAAATGAGTTAGTGCCATGACTGTTAAAGCAATACTAATATCATTAAAGTTGTTACTAAAAGTAGTCTAAGATTTTCAAAAGCAACCAGTGACGTAAGGATGGCTCTGTTAAGTAAGCTAAAGGATTTGTGTTTTCAAAAAGTGTTGAATGCGAACTCTTTTGAAAATCAGGACCCCCACAAAACTGTGTTAAGTTTTTCACCTCTAAATTGAAGCAGCCAAAACCACGTAAAAAAACTCTAAATCAGTCCTGCAGCTGCTGGAGTAGGCCAGGGTACAAGCAACTTTCATTTCATGAGCCCTGTCATCAGGCAAATAAATATTAATGTAGGACAACAAGAGAATGCTCTGAAAATACCCCCTAAATGCAAAAGAAAGTTTGTTACGCTGTGACCCCTTTGTGGAAGAAAATAGATATAAAGGCTAACCAAGAAAAAGTGACCTTTCACGAGTACGAAGAAAAAAGGTCTTCTGTGATACTGTGCTGTGGGATGTTTGTATTTTCAATTAATATGCCTGGGATAGAAAACAACTTTAGTAGAAGTGAAGTGCGCATTCCCAACATCTTTTCATTCGACTTTCCAAGAGGAAAATTGCTTAGAATTGATATATATGGATAATCAAACATGCTGCCTTTGGAGCCATGTCCTCAAACTTCAGTACAGTAATAGAGTAATGGGGTCACTTCTAAACTTTATGGAGAGCATTTCCAAGTTAGTATGAGTGAAATGAATTCAGGAATCTTTAACATAAAGCCCAATGGGCCACAGAAACATTAAACCTAATTTTCAACAATTTGGGGCTCTCATAAAAGTAGATGACAGGTTTGACTATTCAACATAAAAATATAATTTTTTTTCTCTTGCAATCTATTAACATCAAAGAGGAGAAAGAACAAAAAGCAACCCCCCCTCCCCACCCCCTCCCAATCCCTCATTGATAAAAATGAAGCTGCTATATAAAACATTGAAATCTCAATGTCAGGGAGGTTTTAAGGACAAAAAATTACAGTTCAAACCCATAAACAAGAGAAGGTAATGCGTCTGGTGTAGCTATTTGATCCGCTTACTGAAATGTAGGATAATACATACATTCTTTCCCAAACCATTCCCATTGCACTTCATTTTTAGGCCACTCATTTTATTCGTTCATTTTTAATTATGCTTCTCCCTTCCTCCCCTCCCAAAAAATGATGTCAGTGACCTTTGAATCTCCCATGTACCAAAGCTATTACTAAATTAAACAGTGTTTCAGGACTTTTTTAGAAGAAGCAAAGAATCATTTACTACATGGTAGTGCAGCCCTTTTTTTGTTGAAGACTTCCTTCCTGAGGATTTTCTAAGAACAGACAAAGGGATAAAGATTTATTTGTCCCAAATGGCCTCATATTCTTTTCTATACTTTCTTTTCCAATGCTGGCAATAAAGTAATCCTTGAAGGGCCCCACTGCAGATAAAGATGCATTCTTCCCATTTAGTATGCTATGCTGCAGGTGCCATTTAGTTTTAATTTCCATTTCCAACTTCCAGGCTTATTGTCAATGTTAGGTGCTAATAGTTATACAAGTTAACATTTTGCAAGCCATTTCATTGAAATGTCTTCTTAAGGAACACTATTTTTGAAAACTACAAAGCTTCCAGATACTTTATTGCAGGAAATACCATTCTTGAAGTGCAAAGGTGCCTCATCCTGCCTTATCCAATGCTTTTTCAGTCTCAAACTGAATGTCAAGTGGTGCATACATATATTAGGCAGAAGGCAGGCTAACTACTTCTCTATGCATATATTAATGAAGTTCACTTCACCCATGCACTTAGGAAGCAAATATGTAGTAATACTGATAAAGGACAATGAAGCTTATCTAAAATCCATTACAGTGGGTGGAAAGATATCTGTGGCCCTCAGTGATTTTGGTTTCTGCTCCCCGCTCCCTGCCCCCTTTTTGGGGGGTTAATGTTGATTCTCTTTCCACTTTATAATAGTTGTCAGGTTAAGCAGGTTAAACAATTTTACTGGAAAAAAGAAGGTGCATCCAGGGCCAGGATACGTGAGTAGGATCTGAGGACAAACAGGGTCAGGAAGCCAGCAGATCAGTCTGAGTGCTAGGGAAGAGCCAAGCCAAGAAGCCAGGAAATCAAGCAGAGGGCAGAGTTGGAGGGCAAGCCACATCAAGAAGCCAGAAGCTGATGCAGAGAGCTAATGTAGCAGAACCAGCAAAGCAGTCTTGGGTCAGGTTGAACCTGTTGCCCAGACACTTCCTGTTCCAAATCAGGGGTTTATATGGGAGATGTGGAGGGTCTTAGCAGAGTCTTAGAAGTGGACTTAGGCCAGACACTCTGGTAACAGGGAGTGGGCAGAGGGTTAGGCCTTACTGAAGGCTTCACATTGACTTTGACCAGTCTGGGTGGCTAGTTATGGGAAGCAGGCCAAGAAAGCAGCCACAGTGTCAGCCCAAGGGCTCAGATTCAAAGCTGTGGTCTGACAGCAGGAAAACAGAGAATTGTCAGAGTGGAACATCATTCTGCTCTGTAGAATGTGTACAGACAATAGGAACCACTTCATTTTGAAGTGTTTTGAACTTCTAAAACAAGTTTTTTTCCCACAGGACTATTATTGAAATATTTCCACCATTTTTATCTGCTCACACTTTGAAAGGCATATGAAGTGTTTCAAATGCATGCCTGTACAAGACCTAAATGAGCAATGAGCATATTGTAGTTTATTAGGTAAAAGATCATTAAAATAAACACTGTTTTTTTAACATCTGCAATTCAAAAATATTCTCTCGCTGCAAAAACATCCCTCAACTCCTCAGAGGCCACTTATAGTCCTACGATATTGAGTGTGCTTATATCTAAAATACAAACAAAATTAAGTAAAACCTTTCTAAAACTAAAATGATAGAATTTATCCAGAGTACATGTAAACAACTTCCATAAATAAAATTTAAGTGGCAAATATACATCATTATTATTGCTCTATACTGTCAAATTATTTAGAGCATCATTTGTATAACTGGTGTCCCTTTTCTTTTAATTTCTTTTTTTTTTGTAAATGTATTTTGTAAAATTTAATAATAAGCTTAATTGAAAAAAGTTGACCCAAGACTATAAAGTGCTTTTAATTAATTCTCAAATGTGTTTTGCTTTTAAACAACAGGACATATTATTTTAACCTATTCCTGTTCACAATTATGTTTTATTATGTGATGCAAAAGACTAAGTTCATTGAGATGCCCAAGACTGGTATTAGACCTTTTATTCTTTTGTTTTACACAGGATGCTGTTTAGAGCATTGCATTTTTTCAGCATTAATGCTCTAAGCTTTTGTTCCATTGGACAAAATATTTTAGCTTTTACTCATCCTTTTCTATTTTTTTAAATAAACTATTATTTTGGATCCTTTCACTGAAGGATACAGTTTTGTTCCAAGGTCATTTCTGCCAACGTTTCTTGCTTTATGCTAGACAGGTTCATTAATGTGATTCATCTCACAACTCTGCTTTACATTTTTGCAACTAATTCCCTTTTAATACTCAAAATTACATTTCACTTAATGCATCAGCTAAGCCACAGGGCATGTTCAGATTCCTGTAAATTTCTGTGGCTGCCTGACTAGCTTTCTACCTACCATGTGAATTTAACAAATTTATAGCTGGGTCCTTGGTTGGCCACTCCTACAGTTCAGGCAGTGTGAAGTCAGAGCATTGAGCCTTGCAATATCTTGCTCAGTGGGTGCATCTACATGAGATGCTCAATGCCCATTAGACTAATTCGACTAAGCATTAGCATGGCTGGCAAAAATTGTGCTAATGAGCTAAATGAGCAGTAGATTAGTGCAATGGGCATTAAGTGGCACACAAAAAGCTTTCATTTGTGCTAATGCACAGTATTTTTAGTCCAATGGGCATTAAGCATCACCTAAAAGTGTTCACCTGTGCTAATACGCAGTAGCACCAATTACAGTGCATTATTTTGGTGTTATTACATGTACTAAACTTAATATGCTGTAATAATGGCACATTAATGAACATGTAGATGCACCCAGTGCTTACCTAAATCTAGAACAGAGCTTCTTTAAATCACTTTGATCTGGTTCCTTATCCATTCCCATCCTTTATCCCATGCTACATTAACCTTTCACACCGCAGTCCCTGCTTTGAAAGATTAGAAGACCATTTATGTAGTCATAACCTAAATTTGCTGGCTTATAATCATTGACCTTTAAAGTCCTAATCCAATCCCACTGAAGTTGATGGGAAACTTTCCACTGATTTCAATGTGCTTTGGATGAGACTCTAAGTAAACAAGCACTTCAGCTTGATATCCAATCCAAGTATCAGGAAATCAGGTGTCTTTTACCTCACCCTGTCAAGCAGTTTGAGGGCAAATCTATACCCTCGAGACATACTAAGGTTTACCAGCGTGAACTGGGTTCTGTACATGCCACATGCCAAAAATGAATAGAGTAACAATTGTTTGGTGTGCACTTAGGGTACTTTCAGCGTCATCATCAGACCTTTTTATATGTGAGTGCCTAGTTCCACACTAATGGCAGTTGCATTACATTTTGGTATTTGGTACATGCCAGAAGAGAGTGAATGTGCAGGTCTGCTTTCACAGCAGCAACACCCCATGTCTCAGAGGCAGTAGAAACATACTCTGAGAGAGATCTCTTGCCATTGGCAACTTTATTTTTCTAGATTTCAGAATATATAAGACTATGGAAAAATCCAATTAGGTATGCCAACAGTTTCATATTAATTTGTTGCAGTTCAGTTAATGGTATCTTTTCCATGATGTGAAGTTCCAAATGTGGATGTGGTGCAAGATATCAGATCTCAACATCCAGTGATGAAAACTCTAAGGAACCTACAGATAAGATGCTAGAAGTTGACAGTTAGAAAGCTATACAGTGGTAGAAAAAATTGAATACGTATTTATTGTTAGCGCTCGTGAAAATAGCTGCAGTACCTGACATAACAGAAAAACATTCCAAGTGTTTCGCTGTGTTCATCCATTTGTAGGACTTTGTTCATTTTAATGGGGAATGCTATACCTCAAAGTGGCAAACTTAATTCACCACAGCTGATGATTGATGCTCACAGGAGGTCTGAATTAGTAAGGAGATCTAATCATACTTTTATTCTACCAAGGCTAATCCTTTCAGGATGGATGACAGACAATGCAATAGAGCTGGTAGATGCCTTGTATTTCACTGCTGTATCAAAAGAGAATTTCTTTGTCCAAGAAGCATCTCAGGTGGAAAAAAGATGCCCATTCATAGTGATACTGACCTTAACTATAACCAATAGTGCATCTAAATACAATCTAAAGTGCTGGTTGAGGTTACATTTTCAATTATATGTTAAAAATATGCTATAACTATTTTTTCCTTAAGAGTGGGAAAATGTAGATGTCAGTCAAACTTTACTTTAAAAAAAAAATCTCTTCAGTTGTCCCTGAGCTTTTAATGGTGTTTAGATGCAAAATACAGATATGTATAAACTGAAACACTGGATCTAAGCACTCTTTGGTATATGGGTATTTGCAACTCACACCTGAATATGCATTTCATAGATGACTTATCTAATGGTCAAAGTCCATTGGGAAGTTTTTCAGCTTATGTATATTGTCATAGTCAGTGGAGACACAAGGATTTGCTCCCAGATATACATCCACATTTTGCAGATAAGGTCATTTTTAGTTCATGATAAGAAATTCAATTGAAGCAAACTATTCTCTGCTTCCCAGCCTCTGAAAGGCTGTCCCTCCAATCCAGTCACAGGGTCTCATAAAGTAATCTTATATCCCAGCTGTCTTCCCCTTTCTCAGCACAAACTTTCTTCTTTGTCCTTTCCTACATAAAAGCTGAATATAAGTATCAAGCTGACAGAATCAGCACTTCACCGAATGAAGAGAAAACCAATTTAGTTGGGAGCTTCTATTTAATCAGCCATTCCAGAAGCCACAAGTCAGAGATGTCCACAATTAATTCCCTCCTGCCGCAAAACCACAGTCTGCCACAAAGTTTTTGGACTCACCCATGAATCCCAGTGACAAGAAAAATCAGGTTTCCATTGATCTTGGTGCAGTTTATGAACTTGTCAATGTTGCTGGAGTCCACAGTCTGAGCTGACACCAAACTCCCTGTGCCAATGCCATCACACGCTGCCAGAACAAGAAACATGTGAAAACAGCTGGTAAAAATGTTCAGTTAATCAAGAAGTGTTTGCTGTTTATTCACCTGAGAATTTATTTGCTCCAGAAATGGGCAAAATGGTTCTATTAATGGTTCAGAACAGGGATGCTCAATAGGGGTGTGCAAAACAGGCCATATTGGATTCAGATTCTGATTCAGCCTGAATCGGGGGACAGCAATTCAATTAGTTGATTTGGATCACTGTCCCAATTCATTTCACCTGAATCTGAAGATTTGATGCTGATTCAGAGAATCAGCAGTTCGGCCATAGACACAGATTTAAATGTTTTTTCTACATATCTTGAGGTACCAGGTGCAGCTTGTGAATACTAAGATGGTGGGGCAGATGGAGCATCCCACAGAAGTTAGGGGGGGTGGGCATTTGCTTGGTGGCAAACCCAGAAGTGGACTGGAATTACTTCCGGTCCACTTCCAGGTCCACCACTGAGTGCATGGGGGATGCTCCCCATGTCCCACTGGTTCAGTGATCAGCCATGGGGAGGAACCCTGGACCCAGAAGGCACCAGTCTTTGAGCTGGGGGCGTGGGTCCCCTGTGCGTGCTGCGGTGCACCCAGAAGTGGACCGGAAGTGCTTCTGGTCCACTTCCAGGTCCACTGCTGAGCATGCTAGGGACCCCACCACACTCCCATGGGATGCTCTATCCGCCCCAGCATGTCAGCATTAATGAGCCGCCTGGTACCTTGAGGTATGTAGAAAAAATATTTAAAGCTGTGTCTATATCCGAATCATCAAATCTCTCCAAATTGATTAGGAGGGTTCCAATTCAATTCAGAGGGTTTAAAGGGTCTCCTGATTTAATTCAGAGACTAGGCTGCCAAATCGGGCTGAATCTCTGCTGAATCGAATCAGCAAATGAAGCTTTGTAACAGCCTTAATGCTCAACTCCCAGCCTCCAGGTCACATCCAGCCCCCAGACCATACACTCAAGCCTGCAGGGGTCCCTACAAGTCCAAAAACTGGGTGGTGGGAGAAGTGATAGTACCAATTGCCATTCCACTGCCACCAAACTTTTGGATTTGTTGGAAGGTCCCAAGCAAGATAATATGCTGGATTGGCAAGCATAGGTAGCCTGGGGCCCATCTGGGCACACACTGACTTTCTGGAGGCAGCATGGGGCTTGATCCAGTAGCGTAGGGCCCCAGGGAGGCAACACGGGCCAAGGAAAGTAGGGAGGGGTCCCAATCTTTTGGCACAGGCCCCAGGGAGGTATACAGCTGAGGGAGGCAGTGCCAGGCTCCGACTGTGGGGCATGTGGCTGGTGGCTGATGGAAATAGCACAGCACCACAATCTTGCAGCACAGGGTCCTAATCCAGGGGTATGGGGCCAAGGGAGGAAGTGGGGTGCCTGATCCTGGTGCACAGGGTTTAATCCAGCCTGAGGATTGGTCCTGCACCACTCATTCAGCCTGCAACCCCAAAAGTTTGAATACCCTGGGTTCAGAACATTTGCCCATGCCTGAAAACAATCTTTTCAAGGTCTAAAAAATATGGATTTTTAGGTATTTGCCCTTTAAGAAAGAAGTGCTAATGTTTCCCTTATTCCTCCTGAGCATCCAACTGACAAACAAGCTGTTAGTTGTTATGCAGCTGTTAGCAATATAGCTAGATGCTTTCCAGTGAGGCCCTTCCATTTAATTCAAAACTTGCATGCTCTGGCATATACGCTAGTCACCTGGGTACAGTGTCCCCTGATTACAACTGGACAACACAGACAGCTACTTACATTAGACTCCTACATTGGCTCCTATAATTGCAGTATCTGAGCCCCTCTCACATGTTTAAATGATAACAGTATTATCACTCTCCTCCTTCCTAATATGTAGGGCTATGAGCTCAAATAGAAAATTGTGCACACGTGTGCCTGCATGTGGAAGTATACATTTGGGGAAGAGCTATTTATTGCATCTAGACTCAAGAAATAAATATTGAATTCATTTAAGAATTCAGTGAGACCATCTGCATTTAAATCAGCATGAGGCAGAGGTCCTTCTGTTTGTTTGCTTCCATCCCTTGTGGCATTACTGTTTGGGGCTTGACCTGCTTCCTGTCTATTAAATGTCTTTACATGAAGCATCTGGTGTCTGCCTCTATTACAACAGGTATAGGAGAATGCCACAGGCTGGTGGTGGGGAAAACAGGTAGTGTTTTATTCCTACTGCTGCTGGTATCTTGTATTAAGAAAAATATATGCATGACCCTCCCACTGATGACCTATTGGTAAAGCAAATGGAATGGGCATTACATTCAGAAGCTTCCTGGTAAGAGAAAGAGTCTTGGACCTCTTTTAATTCCACCAGAGGGAAGGAGAGAGCATTTTGTTTTTCTCAAGGTCAGGAACAATCTTTTAAGGAAGTGGAGCCCCCAAAAGCTGTAATTGGAGGTGTGGGATATCCCATAAAGATAACAGTACAGTTAGTGGATGCTTATACAAGTTATATTTTTCACATGATCTGACACCTGAACACACTCTACAGCTGTTACATAACAAATGTTCATGGTTGCAGAGCATTTACAATGGATGATCACACAAAAAACTAACCCTTGATAATTCAGTTATTAGCAGAAGGTGCTCTAGAGCACAGTGTGTTAGGGAACTTCTGTTCAGGTTCTTCTAAGGTTAACTTTTTGCATGGCCAGCGGCACCAGCCCAGTCCTACCCTCAGGGCTGTTACAGAGAGGAGAGAGTCTCCTCCCTTTGTAGCAAGGGAGGGAGGGGGAAGGAGAAGAGGAAGCACATAGTTGCCAGCTGGGTTTTGCTATGGCCAGAGCTGGAGGTGGGGTATTGAGGGGAGTCAGGCTGGGGCCACGAGGCAAAGGGGCTCTCTTCTACCCCACTTGCCCCCCCACCATATTTCCAGTCACAGCAAAGCCCAGCCAACAGCTGTGCATTGCCATTGTCAAGAGGCTCAGGCCAGGGATCGAGGAAGGGAGCCCCCTCCCACCTCACAGGCCAGTCCCAGCCTGGCTCCCCCCAATACTCCAGTCAAGGAAGCTGGGGAGTCCCATGAGGCAGGGGGGCTCCCTTCCCCTACCCCAGCTGCTGGCTCAGCTTTGCCATGCCTGGAGCTGGGGGTGAGGGTTGGGGCTAGGGAGAGGAGTGGTTTGGCAACTCCCTGAGAGGCTGCTGGAGCACCCCTGCCCACTGGCCAGGGCTGATGTAGGCAAGCTTGAGTCCTGCTGACCCATCTGTTGAGTCGGTGGGGCCGGGGAGGAAGGGCTCTAACTCATGGCACTTTGTGTAAAGCACCATAAGTTAGTGCCTCCCCTAAATGTCTGCAGGTACCCCATGAGTAGTGAGGGCTTTGGAACTTTTCCCCTATACATTTCCCACAGATAAGCTTCAACTTGTATGAATATTAATACTAGCAACCATTAACAAAACCCTTACACTTTTATTCCTCTAAAAAGGATTTATAAAATATACTAGTCTTGGCTTTTTCCCAAAGAAGAAATGCATACGTTATCCATATTAACATATCACAGTGATAAACCTGAAATACATTAAATTTAGCCACCATAGTTTAATGTCCTTCAGCTGTTGCTACTGGATATTGTAAAACTTATTAATGAATAATATTTCATTTTTTAAAAATTGCTTTGCAGTACAGGTGTGTGTCACAACCCAAAGTTGTGATTGTTTGTTTTTGTGTGTGCTTTGGCACCACTGAATTATTTTCCCGCTAAATTGCAGCTTCTTTGCACCGTGGAATTTTCTGCTGTAAAGGAGAACCCCGGTGCAAGGGAAAATTTCCCGCCAATTTGTAGCTTTCTTTGCATGGTGCATTTCTTTTGCATCTAAGAAATGCTCGGTGCAAAGAGTTCCCATCATTTGTATTTTAATTCGAGCCCCATTATTGGCTTGTGTTAAATTATGCACACGTGGCGTCTAGTGATTGGCTTGCTAGCCGTATAAGAGGCTTGGGTGGTTTCCGCCCAAGTTGGAGAACTCCGAGGAGGACCCCCGCAAGGGAGGACTCCACGAACACCAGGAGGAGGAGACTTCACGCTGTGTGAAGATCTCTAAGCACTGCGGAGCCTATCGGACCCAGCGCATTTAAAGCAGGCAACAGGGGTCTGATCAGCCTCTAGCCTCTCCCCGTCACCGAGCGCAATCCTCGACGTATCCCTCTTCCCTGCACGCACAAGGACCCACGGAGCCTAGCAAACTTCATGTGAGTCTATTCAGAGCTCTTTGTCTCGAGTACTTTCTTCGGTTGGTGCGACGGGCTCGCAGTTTAGAGCCTCCAACCGGATGGGCTAGAAGAGTGTTCACGGGAAGGAACTCTAGTCCGCCTCTTATCTTTTCTATCTGCAACTGTAACTCAAGCAAGTTTTCCTGCCTGCACCGCGACCATCTTTGGTGTAAGTAAACAATCTTTAAATCAACCACTACGCCTCTGTGACTAATTCTAGCCCATGCGTGCCTTGCCGCCGCACGGTCTCCTCTGACCCTGCGTGCCCGGGCTGCTGGCCACAGCCCGCGTGCGCAAAGACGGGTCCGCATATCGCTCCCGGCTCGCACATGGCGACATGGATGGGATCGGGAGGCGGCCCGCACAGTGTGAAGACTAATTCCAAGAAAAGCTATGATAAATTAGCATCTACCTTTAGGACAAATGTCAGTGCAGGGTTTGCACATCTTAATACCATTTTCTTCAATCTCCATTTTGGAGCTAGGACAGGCACGTACACAGGAGCTGGAATCCACCACAAAGTTATCTGGAGGGGGGAAAAAAAGGACAGTACTCAAAATGTGTCAATATACTATGTAATCTTGAGACTGGTAATTTTGCACTCTGAAGATAAAAATAGTTTAATTATTGACTTAACGTTTTAATAGAGGGTAAAAATGTCAAAAGCACCTAAGTGATTTAGGAGTTTAAATCCCATTTGCAAAAAGGGATCAAATATGACAGGTGAAGACCCATGGAAGTTAATGAGACTGAAGCTCTCCTAAGAATCTAAGTCACTAAGGATTTACACTAAGTCTACATTTTAACAGTTTTATCCACTACCATTTTGCCAAATGGTGTGAAGATGATTTCTTTTCTATCCAATTACTGAAATTTCATAGATTTCACAGATTCCATAGGCATTAGGGCTGGAAGGGACCTCGCAAGATCATCAGGTCCAACACCCTGCCCAAAGGGCAGGCAGTCAGCTGGGGTCAAATGATACCAGCAAGATAGGTATCCAAGTGTTTCCTAAAGGAAACCAGAGTAGGTGCCTGCACCACCTCTGGGGGGAATCTATTCCAGGCCCTGGTGACTCAGACAGTAAATAAGTTTTTCCTTATGTCTAGCCTAAAATAGTCTTCCAAGAGTTTGTGACCACTGAACCTAGTCTTCCTATGGGGTGCCCTGGTGAAGAGATGTTCTCCCAGTTTCCAGTGCATGCCATTATATACTTATAGGTTTATAGGCTGCCACCAAGAAAAATGACCTGTCTTGATCTAAAAAGACTGTGAAATCAGATGTATGCCTACAATACCTATCACCCATGTTTCTTTTCATGAGAGGAGCACAAGTGGAAAGAAGCACTAGAAACGACTTAATTTCAAATGTCTTAAACTTTCAGGGGAAGAATCATGAATTATTAAAGAATAATAAAGACTTAAGAGGAGGGAAGAGCCTATATGCCAATTAACTTTTATTTTCATAATGAGCAAGTATAAGGGGCATCATTAAACTAGTGGAGACTTTATTGAGAGCAATGGGACTGCTCTGGTAAGTAACACGTATCCTCAGTTTAAGCAAGGTGGAAGAATCTAACCCTTGCTTTTAACATTACTTCAGCACTTAATATTTCTGACAATCATTGTGGTCTTCTCTACTACAACTATGGGGAATACTGTACAAATTGAAATTCTGAGTCTGGTTTGGGCTGAATTAAGGTTCCATTTAAAAGATTTTTCTTTCTCCTATCATACTTATGCTTTGGTTAGCATAAGACAATACAGATCTTGGTGGACAGAGGAAGAGAAAAACTAAACATTGTCTTTTTTAATGGACAACAGTCTGTCAGAAATTATGAGGACGAGATAAGAATGCATATGTTGGCTGACTGACCACAGAGAATTGTGCTTATTTATAACCTACTTAGGCACCTTTTAAAATAAAGGATTAATTCCAGTAATATTTTCAGAAGCATACAGATGTCCCTATCTAGGACCGGATGGCTCAGAGAAGGCCAGTGGCAACGTTCTGTACTCCCCTTCTATAAAGAAAAAGCATCTTTATCTATTGGTCCTGTGCGAAGCAGCAAGTATTCACTTTGGATATGGATTTGGTTGATTTGGAGGGACAGTAATTCAATTTGGTGATTTGAATCACTGTCCCAATTCAATTTGGCCAATTCAGAGATTTGGCCATAGACTATAATGGGGAATCACTAAAATACCTATAACTTTCTCATTGTTTTGCAGATTTGAATCATAACAGCAGGAA